CACTGAATGTGTGTGGGTGTTTGCTTACTTCAGGATTAGGGAAGACAGGAAGACACAGTCAGTTAGAAGAACATTTGGCTGAAATGTTGGACTACAAGATATAACACAAATTGTGTTTTTGTTTTGGTGGTTGCTTCTGTTGCGTTGGAGCAATAGTTTGAGAGTTTAGATGGTCTGGAAATCACGTTGATATATTTTGCCAATAATCCACATAAGTGTGTCACAATTATACGTTGCCGCTTGCAAGGACAGAAGTGCAAACATATTTTTTTTCATGAGTGTCATACAACCCTTCCTGACAAGAAATATTCAATTATTTTTCGCCAAGATATAACCTTTGCGGTCCTTCTGGAATACCTGAATCATGTAATCGATATCTATACAGCCGTGTGTGTGTGTGTGTTTTTTGAGTGGATACCTTGGAAATGCTGAGAGCTTATCAGCCTGGAGGCAGTCACCATAACAACAGTTGCTGTGGTGCAACTGTGCATTAATGTGGTTTGGTAACTATGTGTAACAGTATTGGAGCCTGTGTCTCTCTCCTCTCAGTGTATCCATATTTTATTTCAATAAGCAATGACAGTGGTATAGATGTACATATCTGTGATGTATTACATTTCCCGGTAACTGAATTGGAGAAACGATACAAATTAAATTACCATATGGGATGTGAGATTTTTTGGCTGATCCAGTAAATGAGGTACCCTGCAAATGAAGTTTCCTCATCACAGTGATGCAGAAGTCCTGTTAACTCGATATTGCCGTAAAACTGTCCAGCTCAAAGATTTGCAACCTCGCCTATACGGGACTGTGGTAGATTCCCCATTTTAATAAGCGTGGTAAAATCTAATTTCTATCATCTTGTGGCAGAAATCATCACTTTGCACGTCCCAATCAGTCAGAAACCTTTTGTAAATTATATAAATGTATATAATATTTATAACAAGCCAGCATTTCTTTGTTAACCTACTGTATGCCTTTTTTCTCCAATTTCTTTTTTAATTAATAACTTTTTGATAAAACTGAAAACTTGTTCTCTTTCTAATAATAAAAAAAAGGAAATAAATATTGATTTAACATTTATACGCAAAGTAATGATCAACTAAATCCTAACTTATATATGATTCTTCATGATTTTAAACACTGTAACCAAGGGATTTCCGGTACCACTTTAAAATAAGACTACCCGAATAAAGGATTAATAAAGGGTTTATAATTAGGTTATGAATTAGTTTACACTTTATTAATCATTTAAGAACCATTCATAAACCAGTTCTAACATAGTTTTCATACATCAACACAGGCTCACTATTTGGCAAGATGACTAAGCCTTATATTGGCTACCTAGCTTACTTCGTCATCTTCATCAGCCAGCATCCTTGGTATCTGTTGTTCACTGAGTTGATTGATCCCCCCCTTCCATCTTGATGTTTCTTGGCATCTCTTTATGGCCATTTATTTACGAGTTACTAACATTTATAACTGCCAAATGGGAGCCTTATTGTAAAGTGTAAAACACATTCCCATTTATTAATGAGTTACTACCATTTCTAATAAGGCTTAGCAGTACAGATAAATGTGGGCTCACTATTTGGCAAGCAACCGGTCACAGTTGCCCTGTTTATCTCATCTCTTATAAAAAGTTATTATTGATTTATAAAGTGTTCACAACCTAATTAATAAATGAATTACAACCTGTTTGTAAACCCTTTTATAAGGGTAGTCTTATTGTAAAGCGGTACCGGATTTCCTTTATTGAATGTAGTTTCCTTTTCTGTGTACCATTCAAATCATTTTGTTTGAATGATTTGTTGTTTCTATCTCTTTTCACTCCCTCACCTTACATGTGTTTCAGCACGGATCCCCACAGACATGGTAATGCACGTTAAAGTCATTACAGTAGTTGAGAGGATTTTAGCTGTTTGATATAATTAATTATATTCTGTCGTGACCGTTATTTTGGTTGATGTTAACCTTGGAATAACTCTTTAAGACATTTTGACAGGTATAAAGCATTGTAGAAGCTATGGAAATCTACTAAACGACATAAACGTGAACACAGTAGAGCTCTTTCCACATGAGATTGCTTCCTGGGAGCAACATTTCCCACCGAGTTAAGCTGCAGGGAACACGTACAGAAAGTATAGCCTTCCTGTCTGTGTCAGTGTAAGATGGATGGACTTCCTGCAGCTGGCAGATCGTGATGTGACCCGCCGCCTCGTAGTGTCTGAGTTATGTTCTCGGTTCATCTGTGAAGCTGCACAGAACCTGTCGTGTTCACGTCTGGTCTGCTTCTATCTGTTGTTATTGCTTTGAGTCCCATTCTTCAGGCATGTGTTTCTTAAAACCGTGGGTGGCTCTCCTGTTTCTGGAGGGTCTCAACGTGACAAGAATAGCTGTGTTTTCCTTTACCTCCGTCTCAAGGTGAGACTATAAATTAACAATTAGGTTTCAGGCTGGAAAGGTCATTGCAAATAAGGCACAGGGGCATAACAACAGGAGGGTAAGAACAGGTAATGGAGGAGGACGAGGAGGGAGAGGAAAGCTGTAAATCACAGAAACTAAAAGGGTGAGACGGAGAGAACAGTGTGTGGAAACTCGTTGAAGCCTGTGAGGGCCACGAGCCAAATACAACAGTCCAGTCTGGTGCCTTAGTGATAAACCATCATATGAAACACTTAACTTCTGACGCTAACATTAACAGGCAACAGCCTTCTGTCAGACCTGCGCTGTTTGAGTGTGTGTGTTCATAATATATGTCTGATATGCCTTTAAGCTTCTTAAAATGTCATTTATAAGTATGTCCAATCTAAACAAATGTCACATATTCAGCACGATAAGCCCTATGCTAATGTCTTTACATCCATCATCGCATGTTCTCCATTACCTAATTGTGTAAGCTCATAACACCATCCATTATCAGATTTTAATTACGAATATTATATCATTTTCTCTCTCTTATCATATGATAAACCTCACAGAGGGACTTCTTGCTGGTTGTGAGCTAATGCCAAACAAGCCCGGGGCTCCTCTGATACCCCCGACTCAACTATGCTTATAATCTAATGTTGTAATGACATTAGCAATGCAGAGAAATCCTTCACACACCCAAAATTGAATGCAAAGTGCCAAGCATTCTGGTTTGCCAGTCTTTGGTTCTTGTAAATCTGAATTGCAGTGACATAGAATGAGCATGTTTAACAAAGTTGTGATACCGAGCATTCTTCAGGTTTTGCCTCTCTAAAGCACTGATTATCAAGCAGTACGGAAACCCAAGGCCGAACACTGTGTTGATACAGAGATAAGGTCCAAGGTTATCGACTTGAAAACTTCATTTGTGTAGCATCGTCCTTGTCAAGTGGTCTCTGGCCCACCCAATGAAATCGCCACATCCCTGCTTTTATTTCTGTGTGTGAAATGTTTTTGAATTTTTCTGCCAATCTTTTGTCATATAAATGTTATTACTATTAATGGTATAGAAGAAGTGCAGGAAGTAACTGTGTCTTAAGCCAAAATGTTTTTTTCACGTACGTTTTAAGCCTCAAGTTTCTTCTGTTTGCAACTAGGGGTGTCTGCATATAAGTGTTTATGCAAAACAAATGTTTATCTATCGTTAACTCATTTTCTCTCTTAGCTATGATCTCTTTTTCATTTTTGTGTTATCTTCTGAATACATTTCTGTTTTTTTTTGTTTTTTTTATTCTTTATTCATTTGGGGTCACATTATAGTACAAGTACAGTTTTTCAAATCATATATTTTTAGAGACCCGAAAGTGACAAATGAAATAGCAAACAAAATTAATCAAAATAAAATAAAAACGAAAAAGTACACAGGGGTTGTTTGAAATAGCAAATGTCTACACATGTACATATGCATACATATCAACATACATATATACATTCAATACACATACATGTGACCATACATACATATCTATACATATACATTCAATCGGTGTATAGAAACAGTCAAACAAGGGATGGTCGTCTTTGGGATATGTAAATTCTCCACTTTTGCCATATTTCTTTAAATGTGTTTTCCTGAAAAAAAAAGAAAATGTCATGGATGTTGTCATACCAGTTGTCACTGGTCAACTGGTATGACAACCATGACATTTTCTGTTTTTTATCATAGATTATTTGGACCTAACGACCCCTATAAAGATCTATCAATCAGTCTCTTCTGTCAAACAAATATAAAAAATATATAGAAAGCTCAAAATCAATGTATATATTCTGCAAGGATTGAATCGACCTCTGCACAAACACACTCTGACAGAGCTCCTGTGACTCACATGGCATCTTGAGTGTGTGTTCAGTGTTGCTCTCTCCCCTGCCTGTAATTGGCTGCGTGAAGCAGACAGACACTGCTATGCTCCGGCTTGTTATCAGACTGACAGGCAAACTGGAGTGGACAACAGTGTCACTGAGAAACACAGCAGACCTTGGAGGCAGGAAACACACACACACACACACGCACACGCACGCACGCACGCACACACACACACACACACACTAACACACACAGCAAACACACACATGCGCACACATGAAGTGCTGTGATACTAACCGGCTGTGACAGTGAGGAGAATGTACCTAATGTATTGCTCTTAGTCAATCTAAAAGAAGATGGGTAGGTAGATAAACTAGATAATGGATGCACACAGTCAACTTAATAAAGCAAATAGAAAGGATAAGACAAGGTTACATGGAAAAGGTCAAGACCATGACAGAATGCTTGAGTCAATATGTTTGGTCGTGTAGCGGCTTAAATATCTCCCAAACTGTCGAATACAAACTCATATAAAGTTTGACATCAGTCATTCAAGAAATATAAAGTGCTGGATCCATTTAACATTTCACTAATGAATTCAGTTGTTTAACATGTTCTACCTTTGGCCTTGAGAGTTTTTGATATCAGTGATTCAGCTTTTGTGTCTTTGTGGAGACGCTGTTGACAATCTGCAGAATGAATTAATATTTTCTCTTTCACTCTGTCTAGACAGGAGAACTTGTTGCGGTGCTCCCAGTGCAAGATGGCTCGCTACTGCAACACCACTTGCCAGGTATAGTGTGTGTGTATTATGTTGTGCGTATCAAAGTGTGTTTGTGTATGCTCCATTTGATGAAATGCTCTTCTTCTGCAGAAACAAGCATGGCTTGGCCATAAGAGAGAGTGTAAATGTCTGAAGAGCCTTCTACCAAGAATTCCCACTGACTCAGTCCGTCTCGCTGCAAGAATCATCTTTGGCTTGGTATGTTTCCAGAGCTTTATCCTGTTCAAGACAGATACAATATACAAGTGTATTCATATCTTTCCTTTTGTCAGTAGTGGTGGGCTGTCTATTGATGTTTTCTTTTAAAATCAGGATAGTCATGTTTAAACTTCCAAGCTCAATATTGCTGCACAATGTCAGGAAAATGTGCGATATGTCATAGAGTTGTAAAATAGAGCAGTCACAATATTGCTTTGGATACACAAACATATATTAAAGTGTAGTCAATGCTGTTGCTTTTTAAAAAACTGCTTCAACTGTGCTTCTAAAATACAACAAATTGCAATAATTAAGAACCTGTAGTGACATTATTTCCAAATGTTTTTTGAACAAATTAAACAACAATATGTTTCTAGTAGCTCATAATATGTGACAAAGATGAAAAACTATAGTAACATGCTGATGCCCTTTTTCTTTTTAGTTAAATCCATCTCAGAGCAGGAGTGAGGAGCTCTTCACTTTGGAGGACCATGAATCACGTAAGTCTTTCCTTCCTGTGGGAATACGTGTCTGTTTTGCACAAGTTTGATGCCTGTGCAGAAACCTGCCAGCTCTCTGCAGACATGTTGGCAACTGAAAGAGTTGAGTGTGTTTCTGTGTCTGGCAGTGTCAAAGCCACATCTCTGTCTAGACGCACTCAGAGGCTGTCAGGCACAGACAGATGATTTCTTTATTGTGTATATTTTTTGACAGACCTGAGTTCCATGTCGGAGCAGAAGAAACAGGGTCTGTCTCAGCTGGCTTCCATGTTAGAGCTGTACCTTCAACAGGAGGTATCTGACCTGGAAGTGACTTCAGCTCTGCCTCCTTCCTGCCAAGAACCCTTAAGCCTCATTGCAAAGGTAGGCAAAATGAGTTTTTAACCATTAACTGTTTATAAGAATTGGCCAATCACTGTGACCATATTTTGACATAAGGGCAGAGGTTGGGCGGAGCGGGGCCCGGTGAGACCAGCTCTCGTTAGCTGGTATTGCTAGCATAAAACAGGCTTGTTTGAAATGAACTTACCGCTAAGATTGTTTTAAAGAACAACTAAATGCTGAACAATGCTGTCATAGAGGCTGTGATATTGTCTTAGTGGTAGTGACACCGTTGTAGTGAATCGTCAATGACAATGTAGCCTTGCCGTGAAGCATATCCTGCTTTTTCGTCTATATCCTGCTTCTATAGCTTTGTGAAGCACCTTGAGATGACGTTGTCTTTAAAGTGTGCTATATAAATCAAATGTATTATTATTATTATTTTACTCTAAAGGGGAATATAATCTACAAAATGAATCATGATGTAATGAACGGAGCCTTTAATCTAGCAGTTGAGGCCATAAACTCATCAGAAAACTGTCTACCTATTTAAAAAGACAAGTAAAATGTGGGCTTGTTTTATCATAGACTTCTATAGAACCTGACTTCTTGCAACCAGTGGATTTGCCGTTAGAAAGAATGAAGTTTAAAAGGCACTTGCGTATTTGTTTCACTTTCAGACCTGGAGGTTGCATTATACATATAAATATATATGTATACGTTTGTTTTTGAATATAGTTTGTAGACACATACACACCTTGGCTGTACACACATGTTTACCCTTGCACAAAAAGGACAGACACAAGCAACAGTTTATTGCTTCTAGCATCCCCTGCTGCGTTTAGATGGACCCCAACACATGTCTATGATCTCCCCAGCATCTGTGATTATGTCCGTGTGTGTGTGTATTCCCAGAACAACCTCAAGTCTTATTTTCTTAAAACTCACCAGCTGCCTTCAGTAGACTTTACACCGCAAATCATTATGTATACAAGGATGTGTTTGCCTGGATTTCACTCTAGCTCTGTCATCTGTTAGATGTCTGACTCCTCTCTGAGATGTTATAGCTCTGAGGTGTTTCCAACAAAAGTATGTGTGGGCATTGTTTCCCATCACAATGATTTTATTAGTATATTTTACTACTAATTGGAAGCAGTCAGGCGGCTGAGCTAATGGCGTTTCAATAAAACATGAATGTTGCTAATAAGCTTAACTCACCGATAAACTTCCTGACATTGATGTTCTCACTCAGATCTGCTTAGGTCATCTAATGATTTTTTTATATCCAAAACAGGATTTGCATTTGACTTTGATGTCAGTGCTTAGTTTTGAACTTTAAACAAAGATAGTTTAACAAAAAACTATTGTTAAACTCCACCTTTGAGAAGGTTTTTGGGTTGAAAATGTCTTTCAGTTGGTCAGTCCACACTAAATTATCTCAATAAATTGGATGTTTTGGATATATTTCGTTCATGTCTACCACAGGTTTAAGGTTTTATATCATTGGTGATGCTCAGATTTGTAAAAGGCATTCCCTGTCAGCCATATGTGATAAACATCAGCGTGTTAACATGGCAAGTTTGGAAAGCCACTGACAGACTAAACACGAGCCTTTTACATGACCAATGTTTTCCCAGGTCTACTGAGGATAAACCACTTCCTTTGACACCAATGAGCTATACAGTGAACATCACATACAGGGAACATCACTGGTGTTGCAGTGGACTCTGAGTCTTGTATTTTACTTTAATTTATGTCACAGGAGAATCTCAGCAGCGCATGAACTGGAGAATTTAATTTCTCAAAACCAACACACATACTGTGTTTGTTTCCATGATTTTGCATAATGCATTAGGCTTTATGGAGGTTAAGTGAGAAAGTTAGAGAGAGAGAGAGTGTAATATCTGTGTGTGTGTGTGTGTGTGTGTGTGTGTGTGTGTGTGTGTGTGTGTGTGTGTGTGTGTGTGTGCAGGGCCATTTGGGGCATTACTCCTATATGAAGGAGAGGGGAACAGAGAGAGATGACGGAGGGAGAAAAGAGGAGGTAGTCACACAGAGAGATTACAAAGGAGCAGGAACTTGGTTGTAAATAACTTTCACTGCATTTAGAAATGGGCTGTACAAATAATATATAATAATAACCCAAAAATAACTCAACACAACATTTATGAAAAGATAATTGCTGAGTTTAGTGTCAAAATGTAAAAATCTGGCAAACCATGTACATTTCACGCCATAACAGTCTTGTATTAATACTGAAAACCTGTTTTTTTGGAGTGTGCTTACGATTTCAGCTCTTTATGAGAGAAGGTGCTGTCATTTCACATCTTAAAAAAAGCGCACCTTAATAGTACATAGGGCTTTCAAACATTGTATGATGCAGGGGTATTATACAACACATTTTGAGATAGTGGGGTATAGATGGGGTGTGTAGTAACTTTACTCGTTAACAAAAAGAAGTGACATAATAAAACCGTAATCACAGGTTCCTGATATAAAGAACAAAGAACAATCACACACACAGACACACACCAACCACACACTCACACTATAAGCAAAGTAGTTTATTAAGATTACCGCGGATGTCTAGGATCAATATCCTCCACTTTACTTGAGCCAAACTGTCTCGGACGAGTAAGAGTAAGTAAGAAGTAAGTGAGAACCCAAAACCATTTACACAGACTCAAATGCATGTACCTAATTATTTCCTGCCCATGCAACATCCAAACAATCACTTGCCTTCCATAACAAGTGTAAAGACAGACACAACCACAGAACCAGTGTGACAGGAGTTCTTTGCCAATATCCAGAGTGGTATTTAACAGCCTGCCAATAGGGGGCACTGTGATTGCATGGATAGCAGGGAGGAGAAGTCCTTTATGTTGGCTTCATCCCTTTCTTCAACCTCTTGGCTGTGTTCTCTGTTTCTGCAGAACTGTTTTAATGTTTTCTGCGTCCCTCCTCTGCTTTAACTGTCCATGTATCTCTCTGTCCTTGTCCTTGTGTTTCTCTGTCTGTCCTCACATCTCTTTCCATGTCTCTCTCTTTCTACACATGCAGCCCCTTCTCTTCTTCCCTCTTTCTTATTCCCCCTATCTCTCCTCCTCCCCTTATGCTCTCTCTTTAATGTCTCCAGTATATTACAAATGAGGAGTTTATTATTGTGTACTTGGAATGTTTAGTATGCTTAACAAAATAGGTCATTATTGTGTGTGTGTGTGTGTGTGTGTGTGTGTGTGTGTGTGTGTGTGTGTGTGTGTGTGTGTGTGTGTGAGGTCTATTCTTCTACGTTTGGAAAGTGTTTTGTTCTATATAAAACATCCTTTATCTTAATAGCTACTCTCTCCACAGCACACTAATAGTCGTTACACAAACACATACAAGCATGCGCACAGACACACACAATGAAGTAATGCCACTTCATTACTGCCCATAATATACCCTAGGGAAGGTGTGTGTGTGTGTGTGTGTGTGTGTGTGTGTGTGTGTGTGTGTGTGTGTGTGTGTGTGTGTGTGTGTGTGTGTGTGTGTGTGTGTGTGTGTGTGTGTGTGTGTGTGTGTGTGTGTGTGTGGCACTGCCAAGGCACACG